AGCCTGGACGCAGGGCATGGCTGCAGTGTTAGAGAACTGAATTGTTATGGCTTTCTCTGACAGGGTGCATAATATTTGTTAAAATGTTTTATAGTTTCACACGTTTGGAAAGAAGTGTTTATTTATACGCAAATAAAAGATAATTTATTTTTATTCAGTTTTAAAATAAAACCCTTTTTATTCTTTTTATTAACCCCCCCCCCACACACAGTTAACCTTCTGCTTAAGAAGTAGTCATTGAAATACAAGATTTTCCATCGGAAAGAATGTATGCAAACTTTCTGACATAGCCTACATTTCCCTGGCCTGCTTCAGTTTACCTCCGCACACCTGCTACTTTTATCTCTCGTGGAACAATCTCTGAAGTCAGGGCTCGTAACAGGGGTTGATGTCAGAGCGTGTCTCTCCGTTCTTTTGCTTTTCTGTGAAAGAAATATTTTGTCATTAGTAAAAACATCTTCATATATCTTACGCTTTAAGCAGGTCAGTGCGAGTTACTTGATATATGTTTGTAACATCAAGGCACTCAGATGACTTCAGCCTAACTTTAAAAATGGATCTTAAGGTGTTGGCAATATTAAAATTAATATTTTTAAAAGATAAAACCAAAAAATAAAGGCTAAAGTTAAGAAACGGTCACGTGTTTAATAGTAGATTTATTGCTTTACAATTCTTCCCACAATTTTATTTTAAAAGCATTTTTAAAGTTGTTTTATTAAATTAAAAACAAGTTTTTTTACTCTTACATACCTCAAATCGCTATTAAATAAGTTGCAAATTATGTATCCATGTAGCTGTTCCTGTTGATAGAAGTTCCGTCTGCATGTAGAGCCACTGCCACTGTCGACAGCACGCGAAGACTGGAGCCCGAGCGCAATGTGCCTTTGTTTATGAGAACTCTGAATGCCACAGCCCACGTGCTAAGAGGGCGTGACGTCAGGTGCGTCACCCCTTGACGCGAGCTGATCGCTGGACAGAGGGACTGTTCTTCAATCGTCCGCGCGTTTGCATTGCGTGGACTGTCCACTGGGTCAAATGAGTTGAATTTCCTACACATTATCTGTTTCCCAATATAGAAACCACCCACAGGAGATCAGATCTCAAAAGCAATGAACTAAAATGTTGTTACTATTTTGGGGACTCGCCAGTCAGCATAGGCACATATCAAACTTTATCTGCGGTTATATCCAGTTCATAAATGAATGCAGCAAATGCCGATTAATTAAATGTTTTTTTTACAGACACACTTAAAGAAAAGAAAAACAACAAATTAGGAATAAAAATAAATAAAAATATGGAGAAGGGTGCAAAACACAGCAAATTGCTATGTTGCCATACTTTTACAGAATTTGGATGGGGGAAATCCATTAAGTTTTGAAAATTAAATCCAAGAAAAAAATTAT